TTTTTAAATTTTTATTCCATCTCCATTGAGAGGCAAAGAATATGATCGGTCATTCAATTGTTATATTTAAGACTCAAACTGTCACTTGCTAAAACTGTCCCCCCACCCTCCGACACACACACACACACACCACACACGTACACACACACACACACATACACACACATACTTCTTTTTATTAGCTTGCAGTCTGACCCATACAGAAACCCATTGCCATGCTTAAGAGTCTCCAAACCAGACTGAGAATTCCATATATACCCCACTTACACATGGATATTTCCCTGCATCTGGAATGGAATGTGGCACCTCGCTAACCAATTTCCAAAGAGTATTCATCACAGGTTGGTGAGTGCCAGAACTTCGGGAACCCAGAGTGTGCATTGGGTCATCTACTGAAGTTTAACCAGTGTCACTTCACCTTGAATTTTACTGTAATTGTCTTCACTGTTAGCTATCGCTATTCTTAGTCTCATTTTTTCCTCTGATGCCAGGCAGACCTCCTCAACATCTCCATTCCTGAAGCTTCATGCAAGAAAATTGCTTTCCCCTTAAAATGATAAACCCCTTTGCTCCTCTTCATCTAACTAAAGCTCAGTGATTAGAGCACTTGCCTTGCAAGCGAGAGACATGGGTTCGATTCCCGGCAGGGCGAAATGTTGGACAACTTTCCTTACTCCACACCCAAGATAATAAATCCTCAAAAAAAGAAAACAATCATAAATTGGTCACTTCAATCCACGACTGCTTGTGGGATACTGCCACATTTCACCCTCAAAATATACAGTCAATTCAATTTACAGTATATTCTGTGAAGCTCTTTGAGATGTCTCTGAAGAACGTGATAAGGCGCAATATCAAATGCAAGGGTTATTATTATTAATAACTGGGTGAAAATGTTTTAACAGTGGCCTTGCAGTTTAGGCTGACACTGCAATGCAGGGGAGGAGAGTGAGGTATTGCAATCTTTCTAACGAGACATTAGTGTTGAGGTTTGTTGGACGTTCAAAGATCTTGTGCCGCAGTTTGAGGAGAGAAAGTAGTTTCTTGCCATCTCCTGACAAATAAACAAAGAGGATATTTTATGATTGGAACAGGTTGAGGTCAGGACACTAGACTCATTTAAGAAATGGATTGATGCTCCATCCTAGAATCCTCCGCCTTGCCCTCTTCCTTACCTCCTTCAAGGCCCATCTCACGATCTTCATCTTTGACCATATTTTTGGGCACCCTTCTACCACCACCCTCCCTGCTCTCCACCCCTCTTGATTCCAGCCCCCAGCTCAGGTGCAAACCCTTGACTGTCCAGCGCCCTGGCGTGTCCTCTCGATATAAAAGGCGCAATATATTGTTGTTGGGATAGATGAACGATAGGGTAGATATTCTGGAAGGGTGAGATCAAATGAGTCGAAGAGCCTTCTTCATCGGAAATGATCGTGTGATCACTGGTTTTTATTTGACTGAAGAGTTACTCCTGAACTGCTGAACTGTTGACCCGCTGCCCAATTCTTACTGAGCAATCTATCTTGGTCTTGAATATCATCAAGTTCATGAGAGAAGGTGTAAGTCTGATAGATTTTTCTGCTACTTTACTGCATTTCACAGAATTGAGTTCTGAAAGCAGGTTGCACTAGCTTAAGTTGTCACAGGAGGAAAGAAACAGGACGTGAAAGGCAGTTTTATGACATCCCAAAGGCACTTTGCTCGACCTGAAATACACTAAAGCTTGAATTTTTTAAGCAATTGCTTGAGGGTGAACTGAACTCAAAGCTTCAGACAGGAATGAAGGAGGCTGTTAAATTCAGCTGAGAAATATAGATATTTTTCTCTCCGACAGCCTTGTGCCCTATTTATCGTACCAGTCGGTACCAGTCTTTATCAAAATCGGATTCTTATGTACAGTGAATCCTATGTTTTCAATCTAGGTAACTTCATGGTGGAACAAGCTCTGTGCTTCAAAGTTTGTGCGCCCAATACGACTTTCCTCGATCCTCCAGTATCGAGACTCACCTCTTTGACTGTGCTCTCGGTCATCTTTCTCCCCCATCGGCTCCCTCCCCTAGCTCGGGTGCCCAGCCCAACAGTGTCCAACAACAATAAAAAATTTACATTTATATAGTCCCTTTCATGTCGGGAGGATGTCCCAAAGCGCTGCACAATGGAAGCTGAGGGGCTGGGGGTGGGGAGGAAATACATGCTCGAAGGCACAGTCAAAGAGGAAGGTCTTGAGATGGAGCTTGAAGGAGGCGAGGGAAGGGGATTGAGTTCCAGAGAGTGGAGCCAGATAGGCTGAAAACCTGACCGCTAATGGTGGAATGGGTAGGGTGGGGGACGTGAAGCAGGCCAGGGTCTGGTTCATGTTGTCCAGACCTTTTTAATAATAATAATAATCTCGACAATGTGATGAGGCACTCTTTCAAATACAAGGATTATTATATTAAAAAATTGTTTAGCTTTCATAAACTACAGCATTCTGTGTGAGTTACACTGTACTACATTCTGTGTGAGTCACAGGGTACGATCTTAAGAGACAGCCATCAGTTAGCTTTACTGCTCAACCTCACCACCAACAGTAAATGTTTCCGTCCATATTATATAAACGACATCTGTGGTGAGTGAGTCACCAGCCAGTAAAATAACGTTTTGAGACCTTGCTAAATCTCACAGATTACAGCTTTATCTAAACTCTGAGATTTGTTACTGGTTTACTATAAATTTATTGGTTAGAACCATAGAATTGTCCAGCTCAGACTAGGGTCAGTTGGTCTAACGTGTGCGTGCTGCCTCTTTGAGTGGAGTGATATAGAGTACAGATTCTATCTAAATCATGTTCGAAGGCTTTCCATGATCAAACAACCCTCTGTGTAAAATAATTTCTTCCAAATTCTCTCTTTGGTTTTTTTTCGGTAATTCCCTTAAATCTGGGCCTTCCGGTCACTGACTCACTCACCAGTGGAAATCATTTCTCTCTTTCTTAGGTTATCAAAACCCCTTGTCATTTTAAAATCCTTTATCAGGGTCTCCTCCAACTTTCTCTGGCCTCGAGAGAAAGCAGCCATAGTTTCTCTAATCTTCCTGAGTAAAATCTCTCACCCCTGGAATCCTATCGTATCTCTCTACACTCTTTCTATAGTGGCACAACCCAAACTGGACACAACGCTCCATTTATGTTCTAACTAGTGATGTATACAGGCTTGGAATTACTGGATTAACCTTGTATTTAAAAAAAAACACCTTGTGTAGGTCAGATGAAACAACAACAACAAATTACATTTTTATAGCACCTTTCACGTCAGGAGGACATCCCAAGGCACTGGACAGTCAGGGATCTGCAGGTGGTTGGGATTAGGAAGGGTGGAGGGCGAGGAGGGTCTTGAGACTGGTCTTGAAGGAGTCTCTCACTGTAATATTACAGGACTCCAGTTAAGAGTTAGAAGGTACATTTGTGAATGCAATTCCTTCTGCGTATAATAGCCTGGGATTTTACTGCTAAGCTGTTTTGCCGAGTGGGTTATGTAAAGCAATACATAATAAGTTGAGGATTTTGGGAGGCACCATTATTGTGAGGCCTTACCTCAAGCAATTGTCTTTTGCCTACAAGATCGGTTGATACCATCTAATATACCCGTGATGCTCTGTGGAATTCTTAGCAACTCGACATAAGGGATCCTCGAGACAGGACCCAGAAACAAGACTGATGCCCAATATTAAGAGGATCAGATGCAAAAGGCCTTTCGATAAGCTAGGACAACCTGTGAAGAGGAAACATCAACTGAAACAATGCTTCCCGATGGGTGAGGCAGCAGGATAAGCGGGAATAGGTTAAGGGGTGTGATGGGCAAGTTTGGGACAGATGCCAGGAAGTATTTCTTCACACACAGAGCATCAAACAACTGGAAAGGGTCCCTGAAAGGGGTGGTCGAGGCCAGGACACTGGACTCATTTGAGTAACAGCTTTAATGCAGTAATGGGAAGACGGTGGGGCATGTTATTCTGGAAGGAGATGAAATGGGCTAAAGAGCTTTCTCTCAAGCCTCTGGTGATATTGTACATGATGCCCACAGATGCAAATTTACAGCTTATTTCTCTCTTTAAAAGGACAACGTGTTATGGCATGCAGACGAGGTAAAGGGCAGGTTAAATGATGGTATGGGGTAATCAGAATTTCAGCACCCTCCAGTGTTAGTTCAGCACATGTTCCATTTTGAGAACCACGAATACACTGTACTCGTCACTAATCAAGGCAGAGAGCCCACCAGAGTGAGCTGGGAACAGAGTGAGGCCTATAACAGGAATTTGGTGAAAGTGGGAATTCTGTGCAGAGGGGGAAAGAGGTGCAGTATACTATACTATACTATACGTTATCTGAGCAGAGAGCCCGCTTCAGGAGGACATCTCAAAGTGCTTCGTTGGTTATAAGGCAGGAACGTACTGTAAGATTAAGACCACTTAAAGAAACCAGGATTTATTAGTTGAACCTTTTACACATTCTTAGCGATCGACTGTATTCTATATTTTTCCACAATTTTTTATTAAAAAAAGACTTGATCAGCCTTGTTGTTATTCTTTCCATAGTGACATAAGATAAAAAAAAGTCTTGTTAGAGATGATAGGTTATGGGAATGTTTCGGAGGAAAGGGGTAGCAATTCAGTTCAGCTTTACCTTTGATGCTGTCGAACTTTGACATGTGGATTTCCCCATTATTGCAAGCGAGAAAACCCGGATTCAATTCCCAGGCAGGGCGAAACCTGAGGAAAGTTTCCTTACTCCACACACATACTTCTGTTTATTTAGCAGCAAGTAGGAACCCGGTTGTCAGTCGATTGGCAGATTGCTTTCCGGGAGTAATAATCCCTCAAAAAAAATTATGGCCACTCAATCCATGACTGTTTGTGGGAGACTGCTGTGCGCAATGGGCTGCCGTGTTTCACCCATAAAATACACAATCAATTCACATCACAATATATTCTGTGAAGCGCTTTGAGACGTCTCAACGACATGATAAGGCGCTATATCAAATGTGAGGGTTATTATTATTATGGTGCAAGCCGCCAGAGGCAGTACGCATAACGGAATAATACCGAAAAAGGGTGAGGGAAGACAGCTGTGGTTTAATGTACGCGAAGTAAACGATTAGGATTGAGAGGCAGTGTATGTTTGGAAAGCTAACAGCTGGTTACATGTCACCTGCACATGTCTACAATCAACAAGTGCAGTTCACATTGATTTAAAAAAAAGGCAATTCTATAGAGAGAGAGAGAGAGAAAAATCCCAGCAGAAGGATTAGATTTGCGATGTTTTACATTCTGAAAGATCTTTTCAGTGGTTTCCTAGCAGGCAATAGACAGGCCACGAAAGAATCCGTGCGTTTATGTGTGTGCTGAATTCCTTCTGCGTAAGTTTACACAAATACCATTTTGAGTAAATTTTCCGCAGAGGATATCCATCACACACCCACGCTCAACATTTTTACATCAGATTAGCCTTCAGCAGTGAGGTGTAACGATTCCCAGGAGGATGGAGTTCAACAGTTTGGCATTTTATTGCAGTGGTGTCAGGTCTGGCTGTGTGACTGATCTCAGCCTTCTGGCCCCGCTCAGTGGGTTTGTATTCGACGGCTGCAGTCCAATTTTTCAGAAGACAAAATGGTCAAGCCCTCGTGGCAATGGCTCTCGGCTCGATTCGGGCTCCGCTTTCTTGTCATTCAATTACTTCTTCGTCTCCTGAAAAGTAGGGGGAAATAAATAGATGATTTAATCTGAATGGGTGGGGATGTGGGGGTTTGGGGTGTTGTTGAGGGTGGGTTTGTGTGAGTAGGCGGGTGGTTGTGTGGGTGTGCGGTGAAGGGGTACATTCATTTCAGAGTTATTAATGTGATACACGATTATAAAGGGAAATAACATTCGCGGCTGACATTGGCAAAGGCACTTGGGCGAAACGCTCAATGGAATTTCTCCCCAGTGATGGCAAAAGGCTCCAGAGTGCTTCAAGCCTTCCATTGCATTTGCAAACCAAGATTAAAGAACATTTTTTAAAAAAAATGATTGACTGCTGCAGCTTTAAAACTGGAAACAAAAGTTGAAAGCATGCTTTTCTTTTCCTTCTTGGTGAAAAGAGACCAGACTCTTAAACTTTCTGATGTAAATATTCGTTATAATAATAATAATAATCCTTGCATCTGATATAGTGCTTTTCACATCTTCTAGACGTATCAAAGCGCTTCACAGAATAGACTGTAAAGTGAATTGACTGTATATTTGTGAGCGAAACGTGGCAGCCAATTGCGCACAGCAGCATCCCACAAACAGTCATGGATTTAAATGATCCATTTATTATTTTTTTCTTGAGGGATTATTATCAGGCGTGTGGAGTAAGGAAACTTGCCCGAGGTTTCGACTGCCTGGATTTGAATCCAGGTCTCTCGCTTACGAGGCGAGTGCTCCAACCACTGAGCTACAAGACTCCACAGTTGTCAGCCTGGCTCAGTTGCCAGAAGGTTGAGGGTGCAAGCCCCATGTTGGGGACTGGGAACTCATATTGTCTAGGCTGACGTTCCAATGTAGTATTGTGGTGTGGTGAGAGATGTGGGAATGCTGTAACATTGGAGGTGCTGACTCTGTCTGAGACATTATACCAAGTCTGGCTGTTCAGGTGGACGTTAATGATCGCATGGTATGATTCAAAAAGACAAAGTAAGTTTTCATGGTGTCCTGGCCAACTCCCTGTCTGCTTGGCACCAACTATCTATATGCGTCTCCAGAATCCTCTGTCCCTCTCCTCCATTGAGAATTCTACCTCCTGGGGAATCAGTGGGACTAAAACAATTGACCCGATTCGTATAAAATGCTGGAACAGGCTCGATGGGGGCTGAATGACCTCCTCCTGTCCCTATGAGGTCTCGAGGCTTTCTCCCACTTTTCTCTCAAAGGCAAAGGGACCAGAGAGCAGGTGCTAAACAATTAGCTGCTCGCTTCTGCTCTTCCTTTACGAGGCAGCTTTGGCTTCAGATGAGCCCTAATTAGTCTGGTTTGTCGGCTGGTATGAAATGGGAGAGAGCCCAACGGCCCTTTCAAACACCATCATCTATCTTCCTTTTGTAAGCAATTACATCTTGCAACAAAAAGAACCATCAAAGATTGTCGGAAATAATTTTGAAGCTTGGAGTCACTGATTACATACGTGCACCTCATTTGTAGCGGTAACTTTGTTAATTATAGTAATCCTTGTATTTGACATAGAGCGCACAACATCTCAAATTACTACACAAGTAATCAATGTAATGTGTAGTGACTGTGTATTTGAAGGCAAACACAGAAGCCAAACCACTCTGCAACGTGTGACTAATTTTATCCAGGGGATTGTTGGCCAGGACACCAGGAGAAACTTCCATCTCTTTTCGAGAAGTGCCAGAGATCTTTAACGTCCACCTGAACAGGCAAATGGGACCTTGGTTTAACATCTCATCCGAAGAGCGGCACCTCCGACAATGCAACACGCCCCCAGCTCCACTGCATTGGAGCGTCACCTTAGACTATGTGATTACAAGCCTGGTGTGGGGGGGCTTGAACTCTGAGGCGCGAGCACTACCACTACTAAAGCATATCCGGTCTAGTCTGAGAGTTCCAAGTGTGTCACTTACACATGGACATTCCCGTGTATCGGAGTAGAATGTGCACACTCTCCCCGGAGGGCCGCACCCTGCTTACCTAATTCCGGAGAGCATTAGGCGCAGGTTGACGAGAGGCAAGGTGCACTTTGCAGGCGAATGCGTTAGCCTAAATAGATCAATAAAGACGTGGTGGGGTGGGTAGGTGGGTGGGTGGGTGGCGAGGCAATCCTCTTGGCTCTGAGCGCAGTGACTTTGATGATGTGCTGTAGCTCCGAGATTCCCTCAAGCTATCAGCACGTGCTGCCAAAGGCGTCATCACACTAGGGGGTGGGAGGACCAACACCTCACGATCTCAAAAATAATAAATTATGTCACTTAAATCCATGACTCGTCTGTAAAACCTCACACCGGCTGCTCCTAGAATAGCAGCATCACACACAGCGGCACAACACCCACCGAGATCAGCACACGTAAGTGCGAAATTAGAGGCACGGAGGAATTCTTTGAACTTGGTGATTTCATTCACTTTGCCCACATTAGCACTTCAAACGCTCCTGTGTGACTTTGTGCTCTGCTGTTCGTACTTTGTAAATTCAATTCTGTTTTGTGCGCTGAAGTTTTCCGTTTTGGCATCTCAAGGTCTCGACAAACTAGAAATCAATTGTACCTAACTCAGTGGGTAGGTCACACTCGCTTACTCTGGGTCAGAAGGTTGTGGGTTCAAGCCCAATGTCAGGACTTTCAGCTCATGGTCTAGGTTGCTTCTCCAGTGCAATGCAGTGCTGCCACCCTTCAGATGAGGCATTAAACTGTCTGCCTTTTTGGATAGATGTCAAAGATCCCATGGTATTTCTTAAAAAGAGAAGGGAGTTTCTCCTGGCGAACCATTGATTTATTAATAAATTCGTCAATAATAAAATATTTACCCTTATTGCATTTGCGCTTCTCACGTCAGGAGGATGTCTGAAAGCCCTGCCCAGGATATACTGTCACATGTAATGACTGTATTTGTCAGTGAGCCAATAAACAGATCATTTGTCATTCATCTTTTAGGTATCTGTGGGACTTTGCTGTCTCCAAACATGATCTATTTCAATATCTTTTTCCATCACTACACTTCAAAGTAACTCATTGTGATTCACTTTTGAGACGCTTTGACATGATATGAAATTAATATTTTTAGAATTACTGCTCAGCTTCACTGGGCAGCTTTTCAATCCTCTTTGCTTCGGTTATTTTTCCCTTTTGGGCATGTAGTTTTTTGGGTGGATCTGTCTCCTCGTTACATATTTACCTACAACGTCACAGCACGTATACAGGCCATTCGCCTGGCGCTTACACTCCACACGAGTCTCCACCCTTCCTAACCGCTCTCCCATACCCCTCTTTTCGCTTCACCTCTGCGAAAGGATTATGGCGGAACTTTTCTTCTCAATAACCTTTCTTGTCATCAGATGTTCTTCTGCCCAAGCATCTGTCTATCGCTCTTTTGAACATCACCAGACTCTGAGTGAAACAGCACATTCCCCCCCAAATAGTCCGTCAGACTCAGAGTGTTAATGAAGTGGTAATGAAACTCAGAAACCTCTGCAGGTCTGCCCACTCTCCTTGTGTCAGTGGATGCACACCCTGACCAGGAGGTAGCGTAGGTGAGACACTAGTGTGAAGAAGCCTTGCTATTCACATCGCTTTCAGCTATTCGTTACAAGCTAATGAATATTTACCACTCCGAAGGCTGTTGATTTGGTGCTCCCTGCTTCCTTACCAGAATAACAACGGATCTATCTCACTGAAGGTAGCTTAGGTCACTGACACTCCCTATAGTATTATTGCCAATGAAATCCCAAGGATGGTACAAGCCAAGACGCTGGGACTCATTGCCGAAGCAGCTCGATGCTGTAATAATAATAATAATAACAAATAATCCTTGCATTTGATATAGCGCTTTATCAAGTCGTTGAGACGCCTCAAAGCGCTTCACAGAATAGACTGTAACGTGAATTGACTGTATATTTGTGGCCGAAATGTGGCAGCCAAATTGCGCAAAGCGGTGACCCACAAACAGTCGTGGATTGAAGTGACCAATTTATTATTGTCCTTTTTTTTGAGGGATTATTACTACACATGTGGAGTGTGGAAACAAAATTAAATTCATATTTTTATTTATAAATGGTTTCAGATCTTGAACATTTCTGCAGTAAATTATAAAGGAAATATACCAGTGATATCACTTTATGTGGAGGGTTTCTGATCTCTGTGACCTAAGGGAAAGTGAGTAGGTAAATCATAACTACCAAATTAATTCCAGTGTCTTCCAAACTTAACCAGGAATAACTTAATTTCAGACTTACTACCAAATATAATGGGAGGACATTAGGGGTGTGTTCTGGTGAGATGAGAACAGGTGGACAGAAAAGTTTTTCCCAGCACTGCATCGCAGTGTAAGCCTACACTGTGAGCTCAGAATCCGATGTGGGACTTATCGACAACCGTATGACAGAGGTGGAAGTGCTACCAACTGAGGATAGACTCCAGAATATGCTGGTGGATGCATGTTGTGATTAACAGTTGTTATTGATGATTAATACAACAGCTGAGCTCTAACCGAGCCCCAGCACAGAGATAAAATTCTGGAATTTTACTATCTCTGCTCCTTATTTTGCTCATTCCGTACTGACAGAAGCCGTCATTTTAGCCTTAGTTTTAGTCTTGCTGTGCACTGACTTTTACCTGACGGGAGTCCAAACAGATTTTCATCACCTAAGACTCAGTTTAAACTCACATGATACCAGAGGATTATGATAGAGAATGGCAACAACAACAACAAATTGCATTTGTGTAGTGCCTTTCACATCAGGAGGATGTCCCAAGATGCTGGACAGTTAGGGATCCACACCCGAGCTGGTGGTTGGGATCAGGAGGGTGGAGGGCGGGGAGGGTAGGGTGACCAAAGACCCAGTCGAAGAGGATGTCTTGAGACGGGCCTTGAATGAGGCAAGGGAGGGGGGTGAGGCTGAGGGACTGTGGGATGGAACTCCAGAGGGTGGGGGCAGAAAGTTCTATTCCGTCTTGAGAGACAACGACTCAGAGTGGACCTCACAGAAATGTAAAAATATTTTAAATGGGGTTGAAGACGTAAACTCAGAACAATACTTTAGTCTGCCCTGAGACAGTAGAACCAGAGAGCACAGGTTTAGAGTTGTAACGGCCAATTTCTGGACAGACACCAGGAAGTTTTTCTTCACTCAGAGGGTAGTTAACATTTTTAATGTTCACTTGAACAGGCAGATGGGGCTTTGGTTTAATATCTCAACATAAGGATGGCACGTCCGACAACCCATTACTCCCCCAGCACAACAGGTCTACAGGAAGGATGGTTGAGGCCAAGACACTGGGACTCATTTTAACAAGCAGTTTGATGCTGTGATGAGGGAACGGCAGGAGAGGGGCGTATTCTGGAGGGATGAGATAGGGATAGGCCTAAGGACTTTATTAATCCGAACCAATCTTGTGAAAGGGAAAGAAAACCTCATTGCTCACAAGCACTATGGGGACAAGTGAGTTATTTCATCTTATACCAGAATTGACGAATATTCCGAACTTGCCAAGGCCAGTGATTGATTCACTGTTTTCTAATACCAAGTGTCGCCCAATAGTATCTCGAGTGCCTCTTCATATCAATCCTCCAGTCAGAAGCGAGAGACTGAGTATGAGGTGTGTGGCAGATGTAAAGCTATCATTTCTGATCACCAGGCCCGTCAATTCTTTATCCCATGGAGAGTTCAATGTCAGAAACTCGGTCAGGAATTCTTCTTGTTAAACTTTTCCTTTGTTTTTCTTTCCTCCCTCCCCCACCACCCTTTTCCTCTGTCAGGGAGGAACAGTTCCTAGCAGAAGCTCTGCATAATCCATTCGAGAGCTCAAGCCATCATGAGTTAGAATAACTGACAAGCTTTCCTAGTTTGTGTGTCATACCTTTCTAACAAATGAAGTGGTGTTGTAATTATTCCAGGCAGTTTGTGGCCTCCCAGCCCTGAGGTACCCATTATCAGCCTGACTGAAGTGAGACTGGATAATGAGGCCCAAGGGCCTCGTAAGGGCCATTATTCCCCTCTTCAACAACACAGACGATAGTGAGGATTTCCGTTAGTTTCACCTGTCAAGCTGCCACTTTTCTTTGCCACATTCATCTGAATAATAATAATAATAATCCTTGTATTTGATATAGCACCTTATCACATTGTTGAGATGCCTTGAAGCGCTTCTCAGAATGTATTGTAAACTGTATTTTGTGGGTGAAACACGGCAGCCAATTGTGCACAGCACTGTCCCACAAACGGTCGTAGATTGATGGACCAAACTTTTTTGGGGATGATGTTAAGTTTTGATTTTGGAGTGTCAGCCTAGATGTTGACTTCAAAGACACCAAGTGGAGCTTGAACCCGCAACCTTCTGACTCGGAGGTGAGAGTACTACTGACTAAGCCAGGCTAACACGACCTGAGAGTTATGTGTGAACATATTTTCGATATGGAATTTGGGATGGTTTTGGGGGGAGAAGGAACTCCCATCACCATGGAACAATTACAACAACAACTTGCCAGTCGTGCGGAGGCAGCGGGTTGTGGGTTGGAGAGTAAGCAGGTCGTAGGTTAACGAATTAAAGAAGATACGAAGGGTCAGGCATACCTTCTTTATCTTCAGTACTTTCCAGTGGCTTCATTGCTGGAAAAGACAAAAATATAATCATAATAATAAATATAATTATCATAGATAATAAAATAATAAAATAATTATCTCAAAGCGCTTCATGGGATATACTGTAAAGTGGATTGAATGTATTTTGTGAGCACAAAGGAAGCGTGAAAGGAGAGCTGAGGAGATTTTTTTCCACAGAAAGAGTTGTTGGGAGTGTGGCCTGATGTGGTAGAGGTAGAGTCTAAGGCGATGGGCAGTCAGGGATTTGGTCCTGAGGAAGGGGATTGGGATCAGAAGGGATGGTGGGTGGGGAGGGTAGGGATAGGAGAGTGACTGAAATCTAGCAGCATTTATCTCCATTACTGTTCAAACACATGGTTATTAGAGAAACCGCAGTGACCACTGCTCCTGACCTGATTTGGACTGTTTTTTTGTCCTTCAAGACATTCTTGCAAGGTGGTATCTGCCATTTAAATAATGTACGTCAGCTCTGCCATCATACCAAATGTGTCTTTGTCTTCCTCGCCATGCAAAATGCCCTTATAATCCAATTCTGTCACTGAGGCCATAAAAATAAGCATCTTCAACAGAGAGAAAATGTCAGAGCAGACGAGCAGTGTTGTAGTCCCACATTAGCAATTTAAATCTAAAGGGAAGCCTGGATTGAACTGTTTCTGTCTATAGTGTTGGCAGCTCCAGAACTGTCAGGAATAAAACATCTACATGTACGCTTGTATTTATGCTTCATGCCTGCACGTGCATACATAGCTCAGCTGCTTAGATTTTATTCCTAGTCAGCAATCTTAGCCGACTGCATCACCCCCATCACACTCGCACGGCTCCACTGGCTTCCCATCCCTCTAGGATAGAATTCAAAATCCTCATCCTCATTTTCAAGGCTCTTCACGGCCTTGCGCCTTCCTACATCTCTGCCCTGCTGCCCCCCTATCAACCTGCCCGCTCTCTCCGCTCAGCGGGCTTCGACCTGCTCCAGGTCTCCCGCCCGACTCGCCCTACCATCGGCGGCCAGGCTTTCAGCCTCTCTGCCCCCACTCTTTGGAACTCCATCTCACAATCCCTTCGCCTCGCTCCCTTGCCTCCTTCAAGGAACGACTCAAGACCCTCCTTTTCAACCGTGTCTTCAGCCGCCCTCCTACCTCTCTGCCTTCCCTCACCCCAACCCTGCGCCCCCCATGCTCGGGTCCAGATCTCCGACTGTTCAGCACCTTGAGACGTCCTCCTGACGTGAAAATGCTTTTGTTGTAGTGGTGGTGGCGCAAGTGGTGGTTTAATGTGTCATTTGAAGGATAATGCCTCCGACAATGCAGTGCTCCTCCCAGCACTAAACTGGACTATGAGCTCAAAGTCACTGGGGGGGGGGTCGGGGGAGAAGGGGCTTGAACCCACAACCTTCTGTGGGTGCAGGGAAAGTGGGGTCTCTTTGGAATTGAACTGGCTCCATGGTGACATACTTTGCACCAGGTTGTGTGTGGTGGTTGCCAGTCCAGTTCCTGAGCTGGGTTGGTCATTGATAACACTGTCTAGCCAGCCACCCTACTCGTTAGGGCCTTGGCTTGCGGGCTAACAGGAGCTGAGCGCCGGTATAAACATGAACTAACCAAGTTAATCCTGCGTAAGGTCAAAGAAGAAAATTCCTGGATTCCATCAAATTGATATTTTGCCTCCAAAATGCCCAGCCACTTATACTTTAATACGTTGTGAATCAGTAAATTCATGACATTGTTCAGAAAATCCTGCGAAGCGCTTCAAGACCTTCTTCTAACATGAAAGGTCCTATGTCAAGTGTAAGGATGCCTTTCAAGTCACAAATTAAAGTCACACAAGCAGAGACGACACGTGATTCTCACCACTTCCTCTGTGGTCATTATAATAATAATAATCCTTGGATTTGATATAGCGTTTTATCACATCTTCGAGACGTCTCAAAGCGCTTCACAGAATATACCGTAAAGTGAATTTACTGTGTATTTTGTGGGCGAAACGTGGCAGCCAATTGCGCACAGCAGCGTCCCACAAACAGTCGTGGATTGAGTGACCGAATTATGAACATGTTTTGATTATATTTTTCTGGAAAAATATTATTCGCCTGGAAAAGCGATCCGCCCAATCCACTAACAACTGGGTTCTTTCTTGCTGCTGGGTAAACAGAGGCACGTGGAGTAAGAAAAGTTGCCAACGTTTCACCCTGCCCGGGAATCGAACCTGGATCCTCTCTCGGTTGAAGGATTTACTAATTCTGAGCAGTGTACGTCAATTCCTTTAGGACAATTTTAAAGCATTTCACTCGGTTTCGATCAAGGACTTAATGAAGAGAAAATAAAAAAAACAGTCCATGCTTGCCGCTGGCAAATTTGCCAGTTGAAATTTTATTTGCCACTCAATACTTGCTAACTGACTTTTCTAATCAACTGTGCAGCCCTTAGATTCTGCTCAGGGTCTTTGCTATTAAAGCTCCAATATGGGACAATCTGCCTGTAATTGTTACTGGTGTAATAGGTATTTCAGTCATATTTTGTTTCAGTTGTGAAACCTGGATTGGCAGAAAGATATCTACACTTCTTAATTAATAATAATAATCCTTGCGTTTGATATTCAGTCTACAAGGTGTAAATGTCTCAAAGCACTTCACCGTTGGTGTGTAAAATGTAGTCGCTGTGTTATCAGTGCTGACTATGTCATTGTTCAGCGCTCAGAGACACTACCTCATGTGAAGTGACTTGTGGAGTCCTGTAGCTCAGTGGTTAGAGCACTCGCCTCGCAAGCGGGTGACAGACCTGGGTTCGATTCCTGGCCGGGCAAAATGTTGGGCAAGTTTCCTTACTCCACACGCCTCTTGTTTACCTAACAGTAAGTAGGAACCTGATTGGCGGATCACTTTTCCAGGGGTGATAATTCCTTCAAAAAAATAATGATAATAAATTGGTCACTTCAGTCCACGCCTGTTTGTGGGACACTGCTGTGAGCAATTGGCTGCTGCGTTTCGCCCACAAAATATAGCCAATTCACTTTACAGTGTATTCTGTGAAGGCCTTTGAGACGTCTCGAAGACGTGATGAAGCGTTATATCAAATGCAAGGATTATTATTATCATTATTATCAATTCAAGTTGTTGTTGTTTTGCTTTTGTTGTGTAGGCAAATGCAGCAACCAATTTGCACCCAGCAATGTCCCAGGAACATGAAGTGAGTGACCAATTTAATCTGGAGACTTGTTGGGCAGGACACGAGGACAGCCTTCTCTTTTCCGATAGAGCCGCGAGATCTATAGCATCCACCTAAACAGGCCCAGGCAATCGGTTTAATGTCTTATTACGAAGACCTCTGACAATGCAGTGCTCTTCCCCACCGGCCCCCCTCTATCTCCCCCCTCATCCCTCTTCTAGCACCCAACTGGAATGTCAGCCTAGACACTGTGAGCTCATCGCCTGATGTGGGCTTGTTAATACAAGGTCCCATTCAGGTGGATAGTAATGATCCCATGGCATGAAAAGAGAAGGGAGTGTCTCTCAGTGTCCTGACCAACACAGTTAGATTACACAACAACAAATGATATAAAAATAATAATAATAATCCTTACATTTATACAGCACCTTTCATATCAGGAGGACGTCCCAAGGCACTGGACAGTCAAGGGTTTGCACTTCAGAGTCATTGCACTTCACAATAAATCCTGCAATGTACTCTGAGACATTTGTGATAATCAAACTGCATCAAATGCAAGGATTATTCTTATTATTATGCATAGTGGAATGCTGCTAAACATGTGTGTTAGTTGCGTGTGGATCAGCTTTCTGTGTGAGACGGAACCTGTGGCGTTAAAGTTAGAGCAAGTCTGTCCTGGGAAGCAATCAGAATTTAGAGCTCATAATTTTACCAGGAACAAAAATGGTAAAACGTTCCATTCTCCCATCCTGTCATCCCACCGTCTTAATGAGGATCAGAAAAAGGCAGCTACAAAGTGAATTGGTAGGGGATGTAATTTTCACTGCAAGTCTGCCCCTGTGTAGGGTTGTCATTTATTGGCGAGTCCAAATCATTAATGGATAAAACTGTTCAGAGTTCACTGCTTTACGTGTCAACTCCCCATTCACAAGAGGCTCACATTTCCATCTACAGACTTCCCTATTAGTTTCGTAGACTCTACATTGCAAAAGTGTCAGAGCCAAGGTAAAAGTTTAATGAGAAATCCGAGAGGTTGTGAGGCACCACTCAACGAGGAATTACTGTACGATGGCTTATACCGTTACTTCACACCAAGCAACTTGTGGATCATCATTTGAATATTAATCATTACACTTGATCCAGCGCTTTTCACATCAGGAGGAATGACTCAAAACTCTTGGCAGGATTTGCTGCAAAATACGGTAACTGGATTTGTGGGACAACACAGCCACGGGATGAAGTCATTAAATATTAATAATAATAATAATCCTCGCATTGGGTATAGAGCCTTGTCACGCCTTTGAGACGTCTCAAAGCGCTTCATAGAATACACTGTAAAGTGAATTGATTGTATATATTTTGTGGCTGAAAATTTATAAAATGATCAATTGTATCTGGGGATTGTTGGCCAGGACACTGGGAGAAACTCCCTTCTCTTTTCAGTTAACAACACAGTGTAATGTCTCATCCGAAGGACGTCACCTTCGAAGGACTCAATCCCACAACCTTCTAACTCAGTCGAGAGTGCTGTCAACTGAGCCACGCTGACACTGACCACGAATCCATAATCCATCAAATCAATCGTAACAAGAAAAGCTGTTTACAGTAATAGTAATGTGACTGTTCCTCACAGAATATTATCAATAGGTGCTAATATGACAATTTTATTGATTTGCGATCACTTCCTAAATTATTCCTATTGTTTATCCGTGACATTTTTATTGAGAATTATCAGTACGTTGCTTTAAATCCGACACAGCTGAAATTCCGGTATCTTCATATTTATTCTGACTTTAATGAAGATGAGGATTTATGACTAAAGATACTGGCAAACCTTTAATGTTTCTCATTTCGTGTTGAGATTCTCTCCTGTTCTCCTGGGCGGTATTCTAAAAATAAAGCAATAATGCTACGTTCGAATTATCATTGGTTAGGCCGCAAGTGGAGAGCTGCGTTTAGTTTTCTGCACTTCACTTCACGAAGGGGAGTCGGGCAGAGGAGGTTACCTCAATGTTACAGGGATTGAGGAGCTTTCGTTATGAGGTGAGTTTGGAGAAGCTGAGTCTGTTTTCAATGGAGCAGAGAAAGTGGAGAGGACAACCTTATAGAGGTAACAGGGTTATAACAGGGTGAACAGGGACAAGCTATTTTCACTGGGAGTCAGTTTTTTTCTTCCTTTGGAGGGGAGCACAGCAGTTTTCTTACCTGTCCTTGCTTCTGCCTCCTCTTCCTCAGCTTCTGCCAGAATTAAGCACAAACATTTCTGTTAGTTCATTATAACAGGGCAAACCAGGACTTGGGTACACAGGCACAAACAAACAAGAAGTGAGTGACCAATTTTTTATTTGAGGGGTTTCCTGGCTAGGACACCGAGAGAGAGAGAGAGAGAGAGAGAGAGAGAGAGAGAAACTCCCTTCTCTTTACAAATAACACCGTGGGATCTTACATCCACCTGAACAGGCAGACAGACGGGGACCTCGGTTTAATTTCTCATCTGAAGGACGGCACCTCTGACAATATAGCGGTCCTCCAGCACTGCACTGGTGTTTCAGATCAGACTATGTGAGTTGAGACATGTGGCTTGAACCCGCAATATTGGAGATGTTGATAATAATGCAAATAATGATCGGGAACCTTAAGATCTAAAGTTGCCTGGTTCTTCCAAGCGTACTATGCTTACTATATGTGCAATTACATGTAATAATAATAGTTGTAATCCTTGCATTTGACACAGCGCCGTATTACATTTTCGAGACATCTCAAAGCGCTTCACAGAACATATTGTAAAGTGAATTGACTGCATATTTTGTGGACGAAATGCAGCAGCCAATTGCACACAGCAGTGTCCCATAAGCGTGGATTGAGTGACCAAGTACACATATATATATTTTTGGAGGGATTATTACCCCTGGAAAGTGATCTGCCAATCGACTAACAGCCAGGTTCCTACTTACTGCTAGGTGAACAGAGGTGCGTGGAGTATGGAAACTTGCCTAAGATTTCTCCCTGCCCAGAAATCGAACCCAGGTCCTCTCGCTTGCGAGGCAAGTGCTCTAAACTCTACACTACGGGACTCTACTATGTGTACTATACATATATTATACTACACTTACTCATCTTGCACCATCCCATTTCACACACACATTTCACACACAGCAACAGCGATTGCAATCAGCTGCAATCTGTCTACAGTCTTTCCACTGGAGGTTTGCACCAATAAAAGGGAGAGGTGCGAACAGAGACAGAAGGAGCAAATGGGGAACGAAAACTAAAGCTAAAACTAAAGCTGATTCAACATCATTTGAACATTGATCAACTGATAAAGAAAAAGTGTGAATTAATATTTGCATCCATATGTTGCTGGAGAGAGTGTGTGTTCAGTGATTAAGTTGCACATATCGCTGCCATCAGTCTTCACGTCCTTCTTATTCTCCAGCTTTAAAAGTTATTTTGTGCTGAATTTAGGAATTACGACAAGGGATGTTAATATAGCACCCAGACATGGCTACCAGTAAACTCCTGATAACTCAACCCTGGATAAACTAGCCACTACCACTTATGTCATCATGTTGTCAATATGCCGGCCACATATACTTATATGTTTATACATATGTCTATGTATAAATATATAAATAAATGCTCTGAGACATCCTCCTGACATGAAAGACATCATGAAGCATTATTATTCTTATGCAGTGTTGTTGAAAATTCTTATCTAAGGGTAGATTCTTAGTCAACCAGACTGACACACAATTATCACCATAACACATATAATAATAATAAGAAGAATCTTTGCCCTTGATAAAGCGCCTTATCACGTCATTGAGACGTCTCAAAGTGCTTTACAGGATGCACCGCGAAGTGGTGTGACTTGAGTATGCTGTGAGCGAACATACCTGTATACATAACCAATTACATCAAAGACGTATAGAAAAGCCAGAATTAATGTGTGCAAAAAAATAAGGTCACTTATTGGCTTCAGAAAGTACAAAACACAAAGCATCTCCTGACTGGTGCCACGCCAGCAGAGCTCTTGCGAGAGAGAATGATTGAGAACTGGCACAAGACTACTGCAAATGTGATGGGCGAGTGTGTATAACACTGTCTCATTGTTTCTCCTCAGTGTTCTCCCATTTGAAAGCACAAAAGATTAACCACACACAAAAATGACAAGGTTCTGCCTGCTTGAAAGGAACGTCACCTTGATTTATGGACAGATGGCGGAGGAGAAATGCACTGACAGTTATCTCCAGCATACTCTTTGCCGAGCCAAGGTTGACTAATAGGAAAGTATGATTTACTGATTTTTTTTATATATCTCCAGTAAATTAAATTTTAAAACAAATAAAGGAGAACATTGAAGTGTTACTAGGTGTACCGTGAAGCTGTCAAGTTCACTGAGAGGGAAGTCAGCAGCAAGTTCATAAAAGTGCTGATATTAATCCTCGCAATTGATGCAGAGCCTTTTACTCAGTAGGTTGTCCCAAAGTGCTCAGGATACATAGTAAAGTGTAGTGACTGTATTTTGTAGGCAAACGTGCCGGCCAATTTGCTCAAAGTCGGGTCCCACGAACAGTCAAGTAGTGAATGAGCCATTTTATCTCGGGAATTTTTGGCCAAGACGCTGGAAGAAACTCCTTCCTCTTTGTGATTAGTGATTAGTGGATCACAGGATCATTCATGTCCACCTGCCCACCCTGGTTTAAAGTCTCATCCGAAGGACAGTACCTCTGACAATGAGGCGCTCCCCCCAGCACTGCGCTGGAGTGTCACCTTAGATTGTGAGTTCAGATTCCTGACCTTAATCCTCAAAGTTGATGCACAAGACAAGGCACTCCGAGTGACTTGACATGTTCTTCGGCGAGTCACAATGAGCCGTTTCACACAAAAGGAGAATGCGGCTAATGACACAACAAGCAGATGCTTGTGTTAATCACTGGAAATAAAGACATTTGTCTGCCTGACACTGTCCACTCTGTGAAACAAGTGGTAAGCTTGAAACAAAATACACCACCGAGGTCCCGTCTGCCTATTCAGGTGAGCTTTAAAAACCCCACGCACTAAAACAGAAGGGAACTTTCTCTTAGATTCCTGGCCACAGACCTGCAGTTTTCGCAGTTAGCTTTTGATGGAACATAGAGAAACAGGAAGAGAGGTCATTCAGCCTTAACCTCCCCCTAAGTACCTTAGGCAAGTTTTCTTACTCCATACGGCTCTGTTTACTCAGCAGTAAGTAGGAACCCGATTGTTAGTCGATTTATGGGAGTAATAATCCCTTCCAAAAAAAATAGAAAATAACTTGGTCAATCAATCCACGGCTGTTTGTGGGACACTGCTGTGCACAATTGGCTGCCGCGTTTCGTCCACAATACATTCTGTGAAGTGCTTTGAGACATATCGATGACGTGACAAGGTGCTATATCAAATGCAAGCATTATTATTGTAAGCAGAGTCAGACATCAGGTTATAAATCAGTTATAAGAAGGGCAAGTCACAAAACTACATGCCTGTATTATGCAATATTATCATTCAATTACATATTGCACTCAAAACTTCATGAATATATTCCAGGGATCAGTGAATTGCTCCAATTTCACTTCCACCTTTTATAGGAAAGGCCTTTGATGTTGGCTTTTTGATCATTTGTCTTTTTAACTTGTCAGAAGCACCAATTTCTGTGGCCCCCCCAAAAAAGCAGGAATACCTTATGGGATTTTGATCAAAGGATCTGTTTCGTTCTCAGTATGCATTATAAATAATGTTTTCAGGAAGTGCAACAGCAGAACATTTTGCAATTTTGTACGACCTGTTTTTGCTTCTCGGTCGCACTTTATAGGCTGTCACCCGAATGCAGGTTTTGTTGTTTCAGGGCTGGTTCTGTTGGTAAACTGTGACTTCTCATCAGCTGGCCTCCGCCAAGGCAATGGTCTGGATTCAGACCACCCTCTCTCACTCAACCAACCAGGATAGAATGCTTACATTGCTTGCATCCAGATGTGACCTAACCCTAATATAATAATAATAGTATAGCACCTTATCACTTTGTTGTGACACCTCAAAGCGCTTCAAAGAATATTCTCTAAAGTGAATTGACTGTGTATTTTGTAGATAAAACCTGGCAATCAATTTTTTTGGAGGCATTATTATAATTCAGTTTACAGTATATACTGTATACTGCAAATACAAGGATTATTATTGTTGTGGGGTACAGTGCTGGAAATCTACGGGATTCTGCGTCAGTCTGTTTTGCAGATGTAATTGTGTTATTATGCATCACTTGCTGCAACTGTGATAGGACAGAAAAAGCACTGTTTCGGTGAAAGTTTATCAAGCAGTCTTACAGTTTCACTTATCTTAGCTGAAATTTATCCACGTATAAAAATTGACTGCACAATGGGTATTTTATCCTTCCTGTGGATATTTTGGATGCGATATAATTCACAAGTTCATACTTTCACCAAGGGCGCTATCTGTTTGTCTCATTAATGTATTAACTAAACCCTTTTGCTGCAGGAAAACCTCCCTCACCGCATCCATCAAAGCCATTCGCTTTGCATTTGTGTAGCATGGTGCAGTCCTGGCCAAAGAAGCAATATTAAGTGCAATAATAAAATAATCATTGCATGTGATATACAGCTCCTACACCTATAAAACCCAACCGTTTTAATGGGCTTCACTGGCAGTTGCTGTAAAGTGTAGTGACTGTGTATTTGTAGACAAACCTTGCAGCCAACTCACACACAGCAATGTCCCCCATGCAACCGTGAAGTGAATGATCAATTTCCATCCAGTTTCAGCTCATTTAATCTTTTTAATCTTAATATAAGATCATACAAAATCGCGAAAAACTTCATTCGCTAAATTCAGTCACAACTTAGAAGGTGTTTTTCCGCGGTTCTTAAAAAGGAACTGCCTTCCAAACAGATTCAGTTGAAGGGTGTCATACAATCTTGTGGCAACTTACATTCAAAATCAAATGGTTTTGCAGGTGAAGATTAGGTGGGATTTTATTACTAATAATAATAATCCTTGCATTTGGTATCGCGCCTTATCACAACGTCTCAAATCCCTTCACAGGATACAATGTGAAACGGATTGACCGTGTATTTTGTTGGTGAAATGCAGCGCCGAGTTGCGTACAACAATGTCCCACAGTCGTGGAGTGAGTCTCACAGTGACAGCCATTTTGAGTCTCTTATGTGTTTTAATTTTTGTCTGTGTTTGTTATTGTGTGTTCAGAGAGGAAAAGATTAAGGGAAGTGAGGTTTCATTGTCAGCCAATTGCTGAGCACATCAATAACTAGAACAGCAACCCATAAAGAATTGAGCTTATAGCGTTTGAGACCAATTGTGTCAACAGCAAAGCAGCGAGCCTGATGTTTTAGAAGGGAAAGTCGTGGGCAGAAAACTATTGCTAGTTTGTGAACAGATGGACATCTCACTGCACAGTAATGTAATTCCAGCCTCTCACCACAGACTGTGTCTGCAACAAAAAAACAACTTCAAGTTCCATTTTTACAATTTTCATTTACACAGCGCCTTTCACGTCAGGCGGAGAGGGGGTTAAATGTGGCTGCCAACTGTACACAGCAGTGTCCCACAAACAGTTGTGGATTGAGTGACCAAATTATTATTATTTTTTAAAAAATTTAAGGGATTATTACCCCTGGAAAAGCTGCTCACATCGGAAGGACATCTCAAACCAGATACAATTCAGGATATAATGATTTGAAGATCCTTATATTTGATTCAGTGGCTTTCACATTAGTAGGATGTCTTTCGTTTTGTAGGATTTACCGTAAAGTGTATTGATTGTGTAGGTGAACACAGCAGCCATATGCACACCAAAAATAGCCATGAAGTCAATGGCCAATTTTATTTGTTGGATTGTTGGTCAGGAGAAACTCACTTCTCTTTTCAAACAGCGCCATGGGATCAATCAGGCAGATGAGACATGAGTTACTGCTGTGTGATCATTAAATTAACACTAGTTCTTGAAGAGCTGAGCATCATTAGAATGCAGTTATGCTGTGTTCTTTATGCAGACAATAGACAATTCAGAGAGAAAGCTTTATTTCTGCGAGAGCGAGCAGTATTGATTCCAATTCCCTTCTCTTTCCTCCATTTCCTGTGGTGTTGATAGAATTCCTTTTAAATGGTATAATTGACTCAGCTTTCAATAGTCACACTCTAATAACTTGTTGGGCAAAGAAATAACGTCCCATTTCTTCCTTTATGCTTCTATTCATAATGTCAGGTATGGGCCATGGTCAAGAGGAGGTACTTTGGCTTCTGAGTCGAAAGATTTTTTGAATCTGACAATCTGATACAGTGTGTTGTTGGAGGTATCATCCTTTGAATAAAACAATAAACATAGGTCCCACTTTGCCCACAAAATATACAGTCAATTTACTTTGCAGTATATTCTGTGAAGGGCTTTGAGACATCTAGAAGACGTGATAAGGTGCTATATCAAATGCAAGCAGTATTATTATTATTATCTTTGCCTGTTCAGGTGGGCGTTAAAGATAATAATAATAATAATAATCCTTGCATTTGATATAGATCCCATGGAATATTTGAAAAGATAAGGATGTTTCTCCCAGAGATCTAGCCATCAATCCCCCAGATAAAATTGTTTGTTCTCGTTTGTAGAGACCCTGTTGTGTGCAAATCGCCTGCCTTATTTACCCACAAATATAATCAATGCACTTTATAAAAAACTATTTTTAATGTGATAAGGCAGTACATCAAATGCAAGGTTTATTATTATTATTATTCAGTGAATTGGATCCAATGAGATTGAAAGGTGCTATTTTGGCACTCTCTTGTAACCGGCCAGCAATAATTAATTAGCACAATGCAGTCTATACTGTTCCTAATGAGAGGTACTCCCAAAAAACATCAATTGAGAACACTTTTGCAACGAAAGAAAACACTTAACAAGATTCAGTTTGTTCTGATGTTTTATTCCAGGATCTGCAGTTGCCTAAGGGAGATGGAGCCTTTGTTGAATGGTGTTAATTGGATTTAAAACAGTCTTAAACACTTTACAATGTAATTCTGTGAAGTGCTTTGAGATGACTCAACAACATGTTAAGGCATTATATCAAATGCAAGGATTATTATTATCGTCACAAGGTTGCTTTCGGAAACGGTTGCAGGAATTCAACAAAACACATTTTTGCACGCAATTTAAAAATAATACTACTATTAAAAAATAATTCTTCCACAATTGAGCTAGCTCGAAGGTGATGTGCTTGTCAACAGAATGTTGAAATCAAGCACAAATTCTGTGGCGGTCTCGGTAGTCTGGTTCCTGAGCAGACAGGTCTGCAGTACTCCAAGGCACTCCTGGTGATAGACCAGCCAGCCTGGCTCATTGACAGGGCTTGGAGGGAAGAGAATACTCCCACTCATCTCCTGTTAACCCTGCAAGCCAAAGCCCAAACGGGTAGGGTGGTCCTAGCAGGACAAATGATGGGAAGCTTGCCAGGCAGCAAAACCAATGGCAAATTAAGTTTGCAAGGATATGGGGAAGAGAGGGGGAGTGGGACTGATTGGGTAACTCTTCCAAAGACCTGGCACAGGCATGATGGGCCGAATGGCCTCCTCTTGGTCTGTAATATTCTATGATTTTATGCAATTATACGGTTTTAACAGGATAAACTCCAGCGTTTACCCCAAATTACACTCTGAGGTTAAGCCTTGACATTATCAATCTGCTCTGCATATTCTCTGGCATTAGGAAGGCAGTATGTGTCCCTCCGAGGAGAGAGTACACATTCCATTCCAGAAACAGAAATGTCTATTTCCAAGTGGCATTCACATGTGAACCTCTCAGTCTGGTTCGGATACTCTTAAGCCCAAAACAAAAGGAATAGCTACTAAGATCATAAGAACATAAATCCTAGACGAAAAAAAAACAAGGTCCATCTAGTTCGCCTTCCACCTCCCCGGCGGTCGCATGCACATATGTCCCAAACTCCCTATGTACTATATCCCATAATAAAAACTATCTAATCTGTGTTTGAAAGAATCAACATTTCCTGCTTCAATCGTCTCCCTAGGGAGCCTGTTCCACTGGTTCACTATTCCCTCACTGAAATAGTGTTTGGGTAGATTAGTTTTGAATTTCCCCTGTTCAATCTCAGGCCGTGTCCTCTGGTTTTACTATTCTGGACAAGTTGAAGTAGCCTGTCATGATCTAGATTGTCTTGCCCTTTAGAATCTTAGACAGCAATTATGTCGCCTCTCAATCTTCTCTTTTCCGGCTATTCAAAGGTTTTTTTTCAACTGAAAGTCCTTCAATCAAATGCTATTGGGTAGAAATTATACCTGAGTCTAGATTTGCTGTTTTGATGTAAAATTTCAGAGCATCCGTCCATAATTTGTCAATGTGTTAAGTATATTTATTGCTTTCAAGAACTACGGAAAACTGATTTCATTGTTAATAATAATAATCTTTGCATTTGGTATGGCGCGTTATCACATCGTTGAGACATCTCAAAGCGTTTCACAGGATATACTGTAAAATGGGATGACCATGTATTTGGTGGGCAAAATGCAGCCACCGGTCGTGCAAAGGAATGTCCCACAAACAGCCATGGAGCGAGTGACCAATTTTACTTGAGTGGTTGCTGGCCAGGGCCAGGGAGAGAGAAACTCCCTTCTCTTTTTGAATAGCTAAGGGACCTCAGTTAAAGTAAAATCAATGACCCCAGTACAATCTACGTCCGATAACCACAGAAGTCCAGCATTGCATCAAATCATTCTGTCAGCAGCTCACTTACGACGACAACAAAAACTACAAAATTACACTTGTAAAAGCCCCTTTCACGTCGGGAGGACGTCCTAAGGCGCTGAACAGTCGGGGATCAGGACCCGAGCGTGGGAGGGGGGCAAAGTTGGGATGAGGGAGGGCAGATGAACTGTTAAACTTACAGTTTACTGGGCAGTGTTGTACTGGTTTTATGGTCAGTCTTACCTCTGCAGATGATCTGTGGATCGATCATACCTGCGGCTCCTTCGTTTGATTCGTAATTAGTGTTAAACACTCTCCCCACTCCCACTCCACCACTCAGATAAAAAAAACCTTTAGAGCACTTCGTTTTATTTTAACACCCTGTTGTGTGTATCAATAAGCATTTAATCCTTCTCTAACACTGCCCATGATGTCAGGACATTCAGTAACTTCACAGGAGAGAAATGCACATTAATCAGATTAATTCATTATCCTGCTGACTTGAAAGCACCAAGTGCTGAAAGCTTACCCACAGAGCCTGAATAATGGAGCTCAGAATATCCTGTAAAACTGTGGGGGTTAATGTGTTGACCTTTTTGGGGGTGCCCTTCAGCTAATAAGCGTTAGCATAAGGGCTGATGATGTGAGACCCAACAAAAATTGCAGCATCGCACTCAAAGCTCAAACCCACCTGCATTGTCTTCTTTGCAACTCTGTTGGATTTTCCGTCTGCACACGTAGCCGAGAGCCCCAAGAAGTCCCAGCAGACAGATAGAGAGGCCAATTGTCAACCACAAGGCCACAGCAGGGAATCGTAGGTGCTGCCCTGAGTAGAGAGAAGCACAGACCAGACGAGGTGAGACAGGAGGGTCAAGCTACATTCTTAATGATGATGACGATGATAATAATATTCTGTGCATTTCGTACAGCGCCTTATCATGTCTTCGAGACGTCTCAAAACGCTTCACAGAATATATTGTAAAGTGGATTGCCTGTGTATTTTGTGATCAATATAATGATGCCCGTCTCGCTCAGATTCCTATTTCTGCAACTGTTTGCTTTCTTGGGAAGAGAGTTCAGTAAAATCTAAAGAAATTGGGAAACACAACCTTTCAAGAAATTTCTCCACATGGTGCCATGTTAGCCCGTGCTCTCATTCATTTCACACTGAGCTGTGTTGCCCACCAAGAAACTTGCGGGGAGTTCCTGGTACCTAGCATCCCGCTATTGAGGGCTTGTTGGATATCAAACAACCAACTAATGATTATCCTTCTTGGGTGGGGGGNAGGTAAGTGGGGATTCCTTGGAGTTGATATGGCTTCCGAGGTGACATGTTTGGCAACGGAATGTGGAATTGAGCCCACCCTCAGTGGCGGTCTTGGTAGTCCAGTTCCTGAGCCAGGCAGGTCTGCAGTATTCCAGGACACCGCTGACGACAGCACAGCCCAGCCTGGCTCATCGGCAGGACTTGGAAGGATAGACCAGTCACTGGGGGCAGGGAATTCTCCCACTCAGCTGCTCCCATTAATCTTGCAAGTCAAAGCCCTAACGGGTAAGGTAGTCCAAGCTGCTTATAATAATCTTGCATTTGATGCAGGACCTTATTATTTCTCAAAGTCTTTCACACAGGATATACTGTAAAGTGCAGTGACTCTGTATTTCGAAGGAGAACAGGGTAACCAACTTGCACACAGCAATGTCACACAAACGGTCATGAAATGGGTGACCAGTTTTATTTGGGGGATTGTCGGCCAGGACACCGGGAGAGAGAGAAACTCCCTTCTCTTTTCGAATAGTGCCGTGGGATCTTTAACTCTCACTTGAACAGGCATAGATAGGACCTGGGTTTAATGTCTCTGAACATCTGAAGGACGACTGATCTGATTCCCGACAATACAACACTTTATTGGGATATAGGGATTCCCCTATAATCATTTAGAATAGAACAAGTTTTTATATATATATATTCATTTTAAGAGATGTTTAATTAATTGTACTAACAGGTAAAAATGGACGATAAATTAGCTTTTTTACTAATAGAATGTGGCACAGGCTGGAACCATGGTACCCGTTATCTCCACTCTCTCCAGATGCACTTTGCTAAGTATTATTGTAACCTTGGGTACCAGCTAGACTTGGAGGAAAGGTCTGCAAAACATCATGTGTTAGGTCTAGGAAGATAAGGAATAGAAAAGACAATGGAGACTCACTTTATCAATACCGGTCGGGCTGGCGCCAGGCCAATGATTGATTAGGATGAGTACGTGCAGGACGGGTGGTAAGGGGGGTAAAGGTATCTGGCAAGAGTTCGGAAAGGGGTATAATTAGTGGAGAGAAAGAGAGAGAAGTCAGTTGACCTGACTGGCAGGAGGGAAGCAAGATTTTTCACACCAGAGAAACCAGGGCAAGAGCGGGACGACAGCCAAGAAATCTTCTTCCACTTTTGTTCTCCGCAGATTAACCGGTGGTATGCTCTTCTTTACACACTGTTAAGCTCGCTGTCTTATAAAAGAATTATTGCACCATTTTAGATTGTCGGGTGATATTTCGAACTACAGGATCGGAAATCCCAATGGCTTCTCCAAGCCCTGTATTGGAGCTTCAGCCTGGACGGTGTGAGTCTCCAGACCCGATGCGGTGATTGAGGGTGATATCCTTTTTTAAAAAAATGTGTTTGAGAAGCAATTGCCATGGTTACCATAGGAGAGCTCTGCTTTGCATTTGATGCATAGGTTTGGCAGCTTACTAAGCCACGGTGCAGATGCAGTCAGGGAATTAAAAGTCATGTGTGGGTGTGTGGAGCACTGTGTATCAGTGATGCCAGGGTTCTTCCCAAGCTGATCAGGCTCAGAGCCAATTGTACTCAACCTTTGCATGTGGAATCTCAGTCACATCCACAGTCTTTGTTACATTACGTTTGCAGACAGGCTGTGGGATGCTGTGAACAATTCCTATATCAGTTTGGATCAAGAAAGCCCTTTGATCTTGTTTGTCCGGAATAGCAGCCCTACCGCCTGCTCATCACAACATCAAGCTGTTGTTTAAATGACGTATAATAATAATAATAATGATTCTTGCATTTGATATTGTGCCTTATCATGTCGTTGAGATGTCTGAAAGCGCTTCCCAGGATTTTTACTGTGAAGTGCAGTGACTGGAGTTTGTCAGCGAACTTGGTGCAGTGTGGATCTTTCTCTTAATGGCAATGAACAAAGCAGTATAAAACATCTGTACACAAACGGTGTGTTCTTGCAACGCTCCTGTTCAGTGGAACAGCCAGCCAGCGCACCAGTAGACCTCCATCAGTGTCAAATTAAAGCCAGTGTATACTGCACTGTGGACATTCATAGATCAGAAGCTGATCTGATAGCCCCAAATATATCTCAACAACATTGCAGTGCCAGAGCAAATAGAGCTATGAGATTATATTGGTTTGTTCATTTGCATTCAGAGAATAATGCCCATCCTACATGTTCTGGATTCCTACTTTGCTAAATCGCACAAATTCTTTTTATGTGGTGTGTGTGTCTGACACACTCCCAAACCCATCACCTTGCTCCAAACCAGACTAGGAGTTCTACCTATTCCGTGGAAATTTCCCTATTCCCAGAAGGGAGTCCTCTCTCTCTCTCTCTCTTTCACCCAGGAGACACACGCACATCCTGCTCACTGAATCCTGAAAACTATTAGACGCTGATGGGCAAGAACCCAGGCTTTGGGGGACCCCAGAGTGTGCGTTGGTGAGAACTGGGATGGGGTTCAAGCAACTAAAAATGCAATAGCTAGCCATTGAGAGCACTGACTGAGAAGCTTCCTGCTGCTTGCCTAGCTCGGACCACCCAACCCATTAGGCAGGGTATACGATTGCTGATGAAACCGAGGGTAGAGAAAGGAAAGTGTAGTTTTTCCCAAATCCTTCATCCCCACTTGCCAACGGTTTAATTAACTGCACGGTGACAAGATTCCTAAAACGCGTTGTTTAGAGGATGACATCTTGGTGGAGCTGATGTGTAGTACTTTAATCAAATGGGTTCCTGTTTCCCTAATCATGGCACACAGAGAAATTCCCTTGTGCTTTTCGAATAGGGGCCGTGGGATCTTTAACAACCACCTGAACCTCGATTTAATGTCCCCTCGAATCGGAGAAAGGCACCTCCAACAATGCAGCACTGCCCCAGCACCGCATTGGAGTATCAGCCTATACTATACGAGTGGCTTAAACGCACAATCTTCTCATTCAGAGGCGAGAGAGTGCTACAAACTGAGCCAGGCTGACAAACACATTCACAAGGTCCCTTATTAAAAGAAGCTAAAAGATCGTGAATTCTGTAATAGTTTGAATGAGATATTATGCAATTCTGCTGGTGCAATTATTTACTGTATAACCACGCTATTAAGCTTTGATTTAACTCTGGGGTAACCATAGCGACACAAGTTAATTATCTTAGTTAGAGAATCAAGCAGAGTTTGGGGAGAAAAGACAACAACCACTATAATTGCAGTCAGGTGTGGTATTAACAAATGGGTTTAATATTTCCAGACATGATTAATTTCAACTCCCTGCTGTAATATATAACATTTTTCATCACATATCGCTGCATCATCTTGTGTCGCTTATTTTATTACAATAATAATAACCCGAGCATTTTATTCCTCCTCGCTACTGTAGCCGGAATCCTTGAATAGAGTGACCACCCTGTATCTGACAGCTTTCCGCAAACTCTGTTCCATGTGTAATAAGCCTCCTGTTTGATACAACACCTTTCACGTCAGGAGGACGTCTCAAAGGACTTTGTGCAGGGTCAGCTGTAAAGTGGAGTGACTCTTTATTTTGTAAGCGAGTGCGGCAGCCAATTTGCCCGCAGCACTGTCCCGCTAAAGGCCGTAAAGTGAGTGACCAATTTACCTGCGGGATTGTTGGCCCAGACACTGGAAGAAACTCCCATCTCTTATCAAATGGGGTCTTTCACGTCCAGGGAACGTTTAAAGCCCCTCCACGGTCGTGCTCCTTCACCGACCTGTCTGCTCCCTCCGCTCCACGCTCTCGCCTTGCCTTATCCATTATCAGTGGTGAGGCCTTCAACTTTCTGCCTCCACCCTCTGTAACTCCATCCCAGAGTCCCTATGCCCTGCTCCCTCTCTTGCCTCCTTCAAGGCCCATCTCAAGAACCTTCCTTTTTGATCCTGCCTGCTGTCATCTTCCTTCCTCCACCCCACTTGCCCTCAACTCCTCTCTGATCCCAACCTACAACTCAGGTGCCAACCCCTCATTATCCAGCACTTTCGGACGTCCTCCCGACATGAAAGGCGCTATATAAATACATTTTGTTGTTGTTGTTATTTATGTTGACCCAGACACTGGGAGGTTGAGCAGGGAGGTTGGACCTTGGTTTTGCATTTCATCTGAAAGGCAAGACCTTGATATATCCCTTTGCTGACAGCAGCAAAAAAAAGCCACCACCATATAATGTTATTCAGCCAATGTGACAAGAGATTCATGCATTTTTTTTTACACTTTCTCCCGAACTCCGGGAATCTCATTCCTTGCCTCTCGCCAACCAGTTCCTAAAATTTTCATAGGTATTTAGAACTCTTATTAGTTCAGTTTGGAGACTCATAAGTACATGGGTTTCTGTTTGTATCAGACGCTTGACTGACCCCAAAAATAATATGCTTCACTTTCCTTGCATCCTATCTACATAGAGATGTACTGAACAGGTGTGGGATTTACATCACTCGACAACAGATTCCATTAGAAGCCGAGAAATCTCCCACAGACCCTGAGGTATAGTTACCTCCTGCTCAGCACCCAGGGAACAGTTAAGG